GACGGGAAGAGACCAAACTAGCCAGTTATAGAATATTGTGTTGACAGCTGAGGTGACTGAAGACAAGAGCATTCAACTCGCAGTTGCTGATATCGTTTCCATGGGAACATGTCTTTACATGACGTGATACAACTTCCAGTTGCAAGCTACTTTCGTAGCAAGGTGTTGTAGAACGAGTGTCTCATGAAACATATTCCAGACACGGGTACTTCCTTTTATCTTGGCATAACTGTGATTGGACAGAGAAATATCAGCTAGCTAGATAGGCTAGCCAGCTGTAGCTATCCCCAAACTATGCTAGCTATCTAGCTGCTGTCAGGTTGGCTAAACACAAGGACAGCGCAGGCTTTAGCCTACACATATAACTGAATTAGTAGATCATCTTGAGATGGTGAGTCAGTCAGGAGGGGAGAAGTCCTCAACTTCAAAACTTCTCTCCATAGCAAAGCTATCTTAGCTTATCTCACTATCACTAAGATACTCACTACTGCCCTTGTTTGTTTGTTGTGATTGAATGGTAAAGCCACTAGTGATGTTACTTTTGATACCGGAGCTCCGAGGCATGTGCCGAAATCATTAACAGTTTACTTCGAAGCAGTGTGCTGATGCTTGTGTCACTTTAGCAGAAGCACATGATCAATGACATCCGAAACTTCGTTTCGTCAAACAACCACCTGATTGTTTTGTATTGGTTTCTGTAGAAGACAAAAAGGCTACTCTGCGCACACGCTACAGCGTGTGGGACATCATCTATAATAATTTGGCTGCTCTACATTCTTTTGACCAGCAGGTGCCACTAGTGTAATGACACAATTGGCTGGAAAGCATCAATGCATCAGGAATCTTGACCCCCCCTCACTAAAAGACACACCCAAGAAACACCCACATTAAACCACACCACAAAGACAACTCTCGTCTGGGCTTCAGTAATGGCCGCTGCATTTCTTAATGACCACCGGAAGAAACATGTGCGGAATCAGTGAGAGCAGTTCACCTTTAAGCAGAGAGGAGGGAGGTGGATGGTGCTTGTAACAGCAGACAGAAAATGAGAGAAGTAGAGGTGGGATGGGGGGTTTGGAAAAAAAGACTGTAGGGTTTACAGTATATTGATAGAACATATAACGTGCAGCATTTGATGCTCAAGTGAAGATTGTACATGGGAGAGGGGAGTTGAGGGTGAAAATGAGCAGTGCAGTTCAACACATGACCAGAAGGTGGTGAGCCACTCTATGGAATTGGTTATCACAGTAATTAATTGTTGATTTATTAATATCTCTCTGTTATCAACACAAATAGTAGGGAGGCAAGTTATACATAAGCATCACATTAACTTTGATGAATTCCTCACCCTTCCTCGCTCTCTCTCTCACACAGAAGCGCACACGCTCACACATACAGAGGCTGCGTTTAGACAGGCAGCCCAATTGTGATCTTTTTTCATTAATTGGTCCTTTGGGCAATCGGACCAGCTCTGAAAAAGAGCTGATGTAAAAAGATGTGATTGGACAAAAGACCAATTAGTGGAAAACATATGGGAATTTGGCTGCCTATCTAAACACAGTCAGACACACAGAAAGAGGAATCCATGTCATCTAAGTCAGCCAGTCACGTCACGACATCAGTCTGACTCATTCCAGTACCACATTAAACTTTAGCTTTACACGTTTCACCATTTCATTTCGAGACCAACCACATTTGAAATCATAATGTACGTCCAAATCACTATTAATTCTACCCCGACACAAATTTTCAATATCGAAATCTCCCATGTAATGCTGTTTCCATGGTAACATAATTAGTGTTAATAACGCATGGTTGCTATGTGTACAGTTGGTTCTTTGATGTTTGGTTGCAGCTCTGGGTAGTGGTAGAAGAGGCAGACTGTGTGGTCGGAGTCCTGACACAGTTTTACCACCACAGGACTCCTGGTGAGCTGAGCTGAGACTCACTGACTCTGCCTCTATTACTCTGACTGAGTCTGAATAGGTTTCTGTGGATGGTTGGCTGTATGGAGCCGAGGCTCTGCGGATACTGCAGTCAACAAACTGCCCTGTAGTGGAAGAAGGATCCAAGCACCAGCCCATCCAAAACACACAGCCCATCCAGTGTCTGATGAGCAATGCTCACTGTAATGCTTGTTTGTCCATTGGCAGCAAGGGCAGATCCAAAATGTCCTCCAGAGCTGGTGCATCCCATAGAACCAGTATGTCCGGTAGAGCCAAAATGTCTGAATAGATCAAAGGTGTCCCACAACACAATGTCGAACAGAGCAACCAGAGCCACCAGATGTGCCATTGTCATCGCTTCAGTAAAGATTAATTTGTGCTGTTGATCATTGTGGATTTGTCCTCATGTGCTTTGCTAAGCCCCTCCTCTTCTCACTTGCTCCTCCCCAAAGAGTATAGCTGGCCACACCTCCCCTGGTGCCCAGTCCGGTAAATGAGGAGAAATACCGGCTCTGGATTTGTTTTTTCTTCTTTTGACTTGTCATTTGTAAAGTCTGTGTGCTTGAGTTATCTTTGTCTTTTGGCATAGCATGAAAACAGTTGGACATGCTCTAAAAGTCATACACACTGTACAATAAATCTACACATATCTTGAAAGCTTTCAGTACATCTAAAGAAAATCCATAACAAAACCAAAAATATGAAGAGAAAAAAACAGCTGATACACCAAACGTAAGAAATACTCAGAATTGCACAATTTCATCCCCACAAATTAGCTAAATGTATCTTACTGTGCTTTTTTTTCTTTTTTATAATACTGTACAGACAAACATATTTTTGTTGTCATCATTCACAACACGTTTTTGAGCTCCTATTAAGAAAGAAAATCCAGGTTGAGGGATCGGTCGATAACAGCAAACTGAATTTTACACCAACAGTTTCTCTGCTAGAGCCAGAAGAAAAGAGCCTGCGTCACCCTAGCAGAGAACTTAGACATTCAGCTAGACATGGGTGAATTACAGAAGATAAAACTTTACAGGAGACAGGGAGAAGGGGAGAGAGGGGAGATGGAGAAACAGAGTGGGGAGAGGGGGGATGGACATTTTCTTATATGAGACATGGATGAAATAGAACATAAAGGAGGAGAGAGAGAGACATAATGTGTGTATGTAGCTGCGTGTGTATGTGTGCGTCCATGGGTTATACAGCTTCTACGGGTTACAGCTGATTGCGTAAAACACAGGCGTTGAGCTAAAATGCTCAGGGGAGTAAGGGACTGTTTAATGTTGTGGCCGTGGGGGTGAAGGCTAAAACATGCTCTACTTTCCTAAAGGAAGAGATGAATAACCGGTTTTCCTCTCTGTCATGTCACTCCTGTCTGTGGAAGGTGGCTGAACCTCTTTCTTCCTTTCTTTCTTTCTGTTGGCCCCCAGGGTCCCCTTGCAACTTCACCCCTCTCTTTTCCATCCTGCTGCCTGCTATATTCACTTACTACCAGTGGGAACATGATAACCCTCATCATATTTACATAGGCTGTCTATCTGACTGGAAACTCGAATGGATCACTGAAATGGACTCTTAAGGCGATTGGGAGAGTGATTAGAGGTCACACTACACACACACACACACACACACACACACACACACACACACACACACACACACACACACACACACACACACACACACACACAGAGGAGTTACCATCTGGGGCTCTGTAGTAGCAGTAACTTGGCTGGTGATCAGCTGGCATGCTGATCAGACAAAGTGCCCAATATGCTCCCTAATGGCCTCAGTCAGATTAATGATATCCGCTCCCTCTCATTTACCCAACCCTTCTCCCTCACCCCTCCATTTGATCTCCACCTTCTTTTCTCTCTCTATCTTATTCCCCTTTTCATTTAGCAATTCCCTTCTCACCCCTCTGTTTGATCTGTCCTCTGTCTCTCCTATCTGATCGGAGAGAGGAAGTAGAGAGGAAGCAGAAGAGAGCAGAGTAGAGAGAGAGACGAAGATGAGAGAGAGATGACGGAGACGAGAGCAGAGAAGAGGCGATGAGAGAGCGCGATAGATATGCGATCTAAGTAACATACATCGCTAAACTATCTCATTCATATCTATCTATCTCTCTCTCTACTCTCTCTCTCTCCTCTCTCATCTCTCTCTCTCTCTCTTCTCTCTCTCTATTTCAACCGTTCCCTCTACACCGTTACAGCTGTTCCATTGTCTTGTTATCCTACAGAGTATATCTGTAATAAAGGGATGCGTAAGCAGTACCGTGGGTGGTGAGGTACTGTGGGTTGTGCCATTCTAGCATGTCTCCTGACTGGGAGGCCAATCCAGCCAGGTCCCTTTGGGTGACAGACTGAGTTTTGCTGTGTCATGTTCATACTGTAGCTTCAGGGGACAGGGGTTTGTGTGTGTCCTAGCTGTAATGTCACATCTCCTGTTCAGACTCAGCCACTTGTTCTAAGGTCAAACGGTAATGCCACGCTTCACTGATTGGCAACAACGCGGCAAAGGACTGTGGGAATAGTACTACTGGCTACAGGGCGCAACTATCACAGGAGAGAGGTCCAGGTCAAGGCTCAGATAGAAAAGACAGATAATTGATTGATGACTAGATATAAATGACGCACGAAGATGGAGCGAGAAAGAGAGATGTAAGTAAGAGTGTGAGTCAGACTAATTTCGTGTTGCGGTGTGATCGTTGTCAGGAAGGAAACACTCAAAAGCCATGGCAACAAATCTCCTAATGATAGTGATAAAGTATAAGGATAATAGGGGTGGGGGGCACAAAAAGCCTCAGCACAACACCAGTAGGCAACGAGCGACGAGGGATTAGGGGAGGGCGATGAGAGTTCCACAGAAAAAAGTAGAGAATAGTAGTAAACCAATCAAAGATGTCCATCATATTAGTCAGTCAGTAAACAATAGCTGAACAAGAACTACAGCCTATAGCTGTCTTTTTGAGTGTGTGGTTTTTATATTTATTCATATGAGCATGTTCTTCTTTCAAATTCCTTTCCTCTCTTTTATTCCCTAATTTTCTCATTTGCTCTCGTCGCGAGTGGGTCGTATCTTCATCTCAGAGAACTTGAGGGAGTACTGCCAGCCGGTCCAGGTGGACCACTCGATGCCGTCGGCATAGGAGGTGTGCTGCCCGCGGAGGTACTGTCCATTCAGGTTAGATGTGTGGCAGTTACGGTACCACCAGGCACCGTGGTAGAAGGAGGCACAGTTGTTCTCCGAGTGGTCGTTGTCCTTGTCTTTGGTGGTGAACTTCATCCCATTGTGCTTTAGCAGAGCATCGCCTGTGTGGGGAGGGTGGGTGGTTCAGGGTGGGGGAGGATTGGATGGGTGGAGGACACATCCATGTTGCATTCATGTACAAATGCACACACATCCATATTTACACACACATGCACACACACAGTCAAATGAAATGGACAAGGGTGAACAGAGGAGAAATAGGGGATAGATTGGAAGACAAGAAAGGAGAAATAGATCATTAAGAGAGGTTGAGCGATAGAAGAGGCTTCAGAGAGAATACAATTGATTCCAAATCTTCAGGGCTTTGATTGGTCTTTCCTAGCTAAACCAATGTCTTTGACCAGAGCCCTCTTACATCAGACAGCGCATTGCATTCCTAATTCATTTCCAAATGACTCAGGAACAATCAATCACTTCCATAAATGACGTGAGATCAGAGAGGCCTCCTCTCCTCTCTAAAGATCGGTCCTCATTACACAGACCACAGGGTTACAACGGTTTATTGTTCATTCATCAAAAGGCTTTTTATTCTTCTGCTTTTAATATCACCTCCCTAACGAGCCGAACAACTGTCACTTTGTGTGCACATACGCACGCACGCACACACACACTTAAAGAGGAGCTTTGAAGCTACAGCAGCATCTAAAAATACTCTGGGAGCATTTACAGAAATAGAACTGAAGAGAGGTACATGGGACACTGCTAGCTATAGGCTACGGCTTTGAGCTGAATGTCACACTTGGGTGGTTGGCTTACTGTCAGTGGCACTACACATGGGGATGTTGAGTGATGTCATTCTGTACCACAAAATCAACGATTTCAAATAATTATGTATTTTTTCAGGCTTTTGGTGAACAAAATGATATTTGGTTTTATTTATCACTCTCCCTGTTTGTCTGTTTTTTTTCTCTCTTTCCCTCACTCCCCCTTTCTGTAATGCTTCATGGTGTGTCTGTGACCAGAGGGGGATAGAGGAATGAGCATTAGATCATTTATTTTACTGACAGAGGAGAGGAAAACACTCCTCTCCAGCGGTGAGGTGTTCGCTAGCAACTCATCAGGGCATCTAAAGCCCTTAATTGCCCAGGCAGGGTGTAGCCACATCACATGATATTTTAGTCATTTAGCAGACGCTCTTATCCAGAGCGACCTCAGTTAGTGAGTGCATACATTTTTTCATACTGGCCCCCCATGGGAATTGAATCCACAATCCTGGCATTGCAAGCGCCATGCTCTACCAACTGAGCTACACAGGACCTCACCCCTCCCCTTCCTTCAAACTCCTATTCCCGTATACCACTCTCAATTCAATTTTTACACAGTAACTCGGGCGCCACCAGTTCCGACTGGGCGCGTTTCAGCATTCACACAGAGAGCCTCTACGGCTAAACATTCAAAAAAAGATAAAAACATACAACCCCAACCAAATGTGACAACATGGTGATGGTTGCTGGATAAAACAAAACAATGGGAGCGAGAGAGGAACCAGGCTAGAAGCACTTAGCATCTCATTTGCAGCCCGCTCAGTGTAACCTTGTCTGGCTGAAGGGAAGTGGATGGGACGAGCGGCTCCACTGAACACCGTTAGAATCCAGCTGCTTTCAGCTGCAATGATCACCTGTCTACTGAGCCCAGAGAGGTATCCAACAATGCAAGCTAGATCTACCCAGGGTTTTCTAAAGCTAATCAGCTTCAGTTAGCTTCACATTCCAGCTCAGGCTTCACCCGTACTACGACGGTGGATATTGTTTGTCCGCCTGCCGCTAACTCTCAGGCTTGTAACTGCGTGTGCATGTCGCGCTTGGCTAGTCGAACACTGAGCTGAAACATCAATCTATGGATGAGTCAGTCCCACATTTTCATTTGTGTCGAAATCAAAATGAAAGAAAAGTTCTCTTGCAAATTCAGCAGGCTATGGTGTAAAATAAGCTTTTAGAAGTGCCGTCTTTATTTTATTACTTATTGATAATGCCGTCTTTGGGGTGCTTATCAATGCACAAGTACCTTTTCTTCCCACTCCTATCAATATATATTTTTTAAAGTCATACAAAAGTGTTACATTGCATAACATTTAAAATGCATTCTGTCATTACCATGTAACATAAAAAATAAAATAAAACTTTTGATGAATACAATATTTAATCAGTCGTTGTCCTCAAATGAAGGGGATGATGACTAAATATTTGCAAGAGGAAGGGAATCTGATTTCATTGGTCCTCAACTCGCGGCTCAGTCATTTCATTCAGGGTAAGTGGAGTTAGCCGTGAGTTAGCCTGCACCGGAGAAAGTTAGTTCTGAAGGATTCGTTGCCAAAGAAATGTACCTGGCTAAAAGGCCGAGCCACTTCGTATGACCGAATATCATGAGTTGAACTCAGAGTTAACTACAGTAGCTTGCGAAAGTATTCACCCCACTTGGCATTTTTCCTATTTTGTTGCTTTACAACCTGGAATTAAAATTGATTTTTTGGGGGGTTTGTATCATTTGATTTACACAACATGCCTACTACTTTGAAGACAAAAAAACAGAAAACTTTAGCGTGCATAACTATTCACCCTCCTCCCCCCAAAGTCAATACTTCGTAGAGCCACCTTTTGCAGCAATTACAGCTGCAAATCTCTTGGGGTTTGTCTCTATAAGCTTGGCACATCTAGCCACTGGGATTGTTGCCCATTCTTCAAGGCAAAACTGCTCCAGCTCTTTCAAGTTGGATGGGTTCCGCTGGTGTACAGCAGTCTTTAAGTTATACCACAAATTCTCAATTGGATTGAGGTCTGGGCTTTGACTAGGCCATTCCAAGACATTTAAATGTTTCCCCTTAAACCACTTGAGTGTTGCTTTAGCAGTATGCTATGTCATTGTCCTGCTGAAAGGTGAACCTCCGTCCCAGTCTCAAATCTCTGGAAGACTGAAACAGGTTTCCCTCAAGATTTTCCTGTTTTTAGCGCCATCCATCATTTCTTCAATTCTGACCAGTTTCCCAGTCCCTGCCGATGAAAAATGGATGGTGTTCTCGGGGTGATGAGAGGTGTTGGGTTTGTGCCAGATATAGCATTTTCCTTGATGGCCAAAAAGCTAAATTTTAGTCTCATCTGACCAGAGTACCTTATCCCACATGCCTTTTGGCAAACACCAAACGTGTTTGCTTATTTTTTGGCTTTTTTTTGGCCACTCTTCCGTAAAGCCCAGCACTGTGGAGTGTATGGCTTAAAGTGGTCCTGCGGACAGACACTCCAATCTCTGCTGTGGAGCTTTGCAGCTCCTTCAGGGTTATCTTTGGTCTCTTTGTTGCCTCTCTGATTAATGCCCTCATTGCCTGGTCTGTGAGTTTTGGTGGGCGGCCCTCTCTTGGCAGGTTTGTTGTGTTGCCATATTCTTTCCATTTTTTAATAATGGATTTAATGGTGCTCCGTGGGATGTTCAAAGTTTCGGATATTTTTTTATAACCCAACCCTGATCTGTACTTCTCCACAACTTTGTCCCTGACCTGTTTGAAGAGCTCCTTGGTCTTCATGGTGCCACTCGCTTGGTGGTGCCCCTTGCTTAGTGGTGTTGCAGACTCAGGTGTATATATACTGAGATCATGTGACAGATCTTGTGACACTTAGATTGCACACAGGTGGACATTATTTAACTAATTATGTGACTTCTGAACGTAATTGGTTGCACCAGATCGTATTTAGGGGCTTCATAGCAAAGGGGCTGAATACATATGCACACAACACTTTTCCGTTTTAAATTTTTAAGAATTCTTTGAAACAAGTTATTTTTTTCATTTCACTTTACCAAGTTGGACTATTTTGTGTATGTCCATTACATGAAATCCAAATAAAAATCTATTTAAATTACAGGTTGTAATGCAGCAAAATAGGAAAAATGCCAAGGGGGATGAATACTTTTGCAAGGCACTGTAACTCCTCAAACCTGCTTCGTAGGATACCCCTCAGATCAGAGAAAATGTGTGTGTGTGTGTGATAACAACAACAATAGTGTTACTAATGGGGGGTGGTATGAGGGGGAGGCTTGCAAGCTGCAGTGGGATTCAAATGTCCAACAGGCACGCTGTCAGTTGAAGGTTAGTGGCATTGCAGTAGGAAGAGTGGATACAAGCTTTACACACTAAAACATTAGTGTTCCCCAAGGGTTCTTTAGGAAGGGTGATGTTCTATGTGGAATCATAATGACTCAAATAACCCTTTGAGCTCTTCAATGGTTCTTTACAGTTCACAAAATGTGACCGACCACCTTGATTCGGTCTTATGTAGCAAAATTTGAAATTGTGTTTTTTACATTGGACAAAAGCAGAGACACAGAGCTACAAAATGGTATATCATACACTGCATTTGAGGAACAATGGAAAAGTAATTCTGCGTTGAAAGTTGATAAACTTGTAATCTCACTTTTGAGAAAATGGCCTTTGAATGTTTTGTTACCTACTGGAGAGCTCTTCTTTGTCTGCACCCATTCAGCATCATTCATACCCTCTTAAGCTTTAGCCCCACCCATCTCGTTTCGCTCTCAGAACGTTCAGAGCGCACACTGGATGCTCTGGCCGACGAGTAGAGTTGATCCGAGCGTTCTGACCTCACAACGGCAGTCAAGCACCCAAGCTAACTGGCTAACATTGGCTAGCTTGCTAGCTACTTCAAGACACAAATGAGAGAACATCCCAATGACCATTTTACTCGCCATAGGCAAAGCTGGTTAGGCTGTTTTCATGTTATCCAGAGAATTGGTGACTGTAACTGTGCTGCTGGCAACACTTGAATTACGTTTTTTTGTGACGTTTACTGACACCAGCCACATTCAACGGGTGTTGAGCATTCGTAAATTCATCAGTTATTCTGCGCTCTGGCATACTCAGGCTGAATTTACGAACGCACCCAAAATGGTTACTTGCATAATGGAGTCTTTTGTTAAGACACGTAGCTAGCTAGCTAGGTAAATAATTAACCACATACTTTATGGTACACTTTAACCTGAAATGAAACCACTTTCTGTCAAAATTAGAAACGTGTAATATCTGAAAATGTAGCTAGCTAGACTATCTTACCCGTATACATCATGGATGGACGCGTCTCCCTTAGTTTGAAGATGTAATCCGGAGACAGGTGTTTTCACCATCTCCTTAGCTATCATACTCTAATTCCACTGATTTCAAAACTCAGTCCTCCAGAAAGTGGAGAGCAACACTTATGCAGTTTAACTACGCGATACATTTAAAAATAAATCCACGTTAGACAGAATTACCTACAAATACTGACCAGCTCAAATCGACCGAAGCATGCTATATGGCAGACCAATCCGAACTCATTTCTCGGCATGTCCAGCCTACTCATTATCTCAGCCAATCATGGCTAGTGGGAAGGTTGCTGTCTTTTTTTTTGTGGCTAAACCAACTAGGCTCGTAATTAAACAAAATATTCATATTTACAGATGGCATACACATTTGTTATTAAGGCACATGAAAGTTCACATGTTCCAGAAGGCATTTCTGCCAAAAACACACATTTGTATAAAAAAAAAAGTATACATTCAAATGGCTCTCCTGTGATGTAGTGACCCGCGACATACACCTAGTTTCCTGAAACGAGTCACAAATGGTTCATTGCGCTTTTAGTGATAATTTAAATGTCCAGTTTATCTAATATGTTGTGTTATGCCATCACATATTATATCTGGCTATGGCCAGTGATAGTGTCTTGTGAAAGACTCACGCATGGCCTTGTGTCAATTGAAAACGGTTGACTAAATCAGTCAGTGGTTCTCAATTCTCTCTTCAGCGACCCCCAGCTGTTCCAAAGGTAGCTTAATTGATTCAACTTGTCAATACAATAATAACACATATGGTATTTTAACAATATGGCTGACCAGAATAAAAATCCTGTATGGTTCTTCAAAAGGATCTACAAAGAACCTTTCAGATTGAGAAAGGTTCTTTATAGAACCATTATTGATAGAGGCTCTATATATAACCTTTTATAATGGTTATTTACAGAGTATCAAAGAAAGGTTCTATATAGCATAAAAAATTGTTATGTTATGGTTACAATCCAAATAACCCCTATCTGGTACTATTTAGAATCATCATTCTTTTGTGTGTACAAGCCATTTAAATAACACTCTCTTTTTGCAAAACCTGCTTGTGACCTCCTTTACACCCCTCTCTCTTCTCCCTCCTCCTCTCCTCTCTAGCCCCTCTTCCTATCCTTGCATCTCTCTCTCATCTGTCCCTCTTCTATCTCTGTGAGCTGTGCTGAGTTCTCAGTACTCCACTCCCCAAAGGTTCTTTAAATTGATGATTTGTTGTGACAGGCATCTGGCAATGTTTTGTTTATGCTGCTGGTCAACCACAGTAATTAATTGTGTAGTAATTTATTGACGGTGACGGGACTGCGGCTGAGATGTGATGTTTGGGGAACAGATACACACAGACACATATAGTTTGTCCCTGTTTCTCTGTCCCTGTCTGTCCACGCTGTGGGGACCAAACCAAACACTTCCATACCTCATTCCCTCAGCACTTAACAATAAACTACTGCAGATGACACAGCAGATTTTACTATAGATAGAGTCAATGCATTGTTGAGTTATAAGTATTTTAGGAGGAAATCTGGGGCATCTACATTTGTGTTTAAGTGCAGCTTAACTCTGCTTTGGGCGACCTCGATGTCTGGGTCTATAACAACCCAATCTATAATTTGAATCAAACTTCAATGTAAAATGTTCATTGAAGATGAGAGTTCATTAGGTAGATACTTTATTGATTAACAACTGGTCAGTCAGATATAAGCTTGTACCTGCGTTTCCGGCGTAATCTCCAACGGTCAGTGGGTATCCATCATCGTCAGGGTCCACAGAGAACAGGCCAACTCCGAAGGTCCCATACTGGGCGTAGGCTGTACTGTTGTCAAAGTCCTCCAGGTCAATCCTCAACTCATAGTTACCCTGGATGGAGAGAGCATGGATCTGCTTCAACCCTGCAGACAGAGAGAGAGCAAGAGAGAGACAGAGAGTGTGGGAGGGAGGTGGAGAAAGAGAAAGAGAGTGAGAGAGCGAATGAAGGACAAAGAAGGAGCGATAGGAAGGGAAGGAGAGAGTTAGAGTTGACCGATCAGAGCCACTCCCTGAGGGAGAGAGACCCCCTTGTTGCCTTGAGAAAACCCCCACACCAAAGTGATTTCATTTTAGAAGCAGGAGCAGCATCTGCTTCGTACTGTGCCGTGTGACTTAAAGGAAAACCGGAACACACTTAATGTCCCTGCCCACCAGTCAGTTCCCAGAAGTCAACCTGCTACAGTAAGTGAGAAGTCCCAACAGTGCAGCAGGATGCTCTGTCTGGATGCTTTAACCCATGGTCTGTCACATAACATCAAAGACAGCACTGCTCTCACTCCCGAGTCCTCACAAACTACTTAAAGCACACACTCTGTTGGAGACACACACACACACACACACACACACACACACACACACACACACACACACACACACACGTTTGTTTTACTATCCTTTTGGGGACCAAATAATTGATTCCCAATCAAAATCCTATTTTCCCTAACCCTAAACCTAATCCTTAACCTATCCCTAACCTTAACCCCAAACCTAAGTCCTAACCTAACCCAACCCTAATTGTAACCCTAACCCTAAACCTAACCCCTAAGCCTAAAATAGCCTATTTCCTTTTGGAGACCGGCGAAATGTGACTGTCCGCATCGATTTTGATTGACGTACCAAATTTGGCAATGTTTTTTTTTTTTTTACATTGGATAAAAGCAAAGACTCAGAGCTACAAAATGGTATATCATACACTTTTGAGGAACAACGGGAGAGTAATTCTGCTTTGAAAGTTGATAAACTTGTAACCCCACTTTTGAGAAAATGGCCATTGAATGTTTTGGTACACCTACTGGAGAGCTCTTCTTTGTCTATACCCATTCAACATCTTTCACACCCTCTTAAGCCTTAGCCCCACCCATCTCTTTAAGGATTCACATGAGGCCATGTGCTAAACCGAGTGAGTAGTGTAGTAAAGATTTCAAGACTAAAAGTGGTAAAAGTAGTAGCCTACAATAAGTCTATATCCTAATCTGACTTCGGTGCAGGTCATGTTGTTCACACTATATCAAATAAAATCAAAGTTTATTTGTCACTTGCACAGGATACAGAAGGTGTAAATGGTACAGTGACATGGTGGCTTGTATATTTGCATAATAGCAATATAAAAAAACAGAAAGTGTCCAGCTAAAGATATTTTATAAATATTAGATGACGCTTACTCAGACACGCTTTTCTAAATTGATGGGTCATGTCAAAGAAATGCTATAACCCCCAGCCACATCTTGCTAAGTAGATGGGTCTCTACAGAAGTTGCAAACGGTACAGTGAAATGGTTACTTGCATATTTGCGTAGTAGCAATCTCAAAAATAGAAAGTGTCAATATAAAACAATATAACAAAAAGTGTCGATGCCAGTAGAGAATGAACAAAATAATATACAGTATGTACAAGAACAATATCAAGAACAATATCAGTGATAGATGAGGTAGTTATTTGCAATCAGGGGTAAAGTGGCTGAGCAGCAGGATAGAAAAGAAAATAGTAGTGACAACGTATGGCAATGTATGGTGTGTGTGTTAGGAGAGAGTCATGTGAATGTGCATAGAGGCACTGCAGATAGTACGGATGACTGGGAACTCGCCCCCAGTGATGAACGGATCTGTCCGCACCACGCATGAACAAGGGAATCTATTTTCGGAGAGCCTGTTTTTGTCCTGCCCTTGACTTTGGTGCATGGCTTCTTCGTCGCAAAACTCCCTGATCTTCTCAAAAAGAAAAGTTGGACTAGTTGTGTCCAATCCAAGTGGTGCTTGTACAGGCAGACCATCTATGGGAGGAAGGATGTCAACGGTGCGCAGCAGCTGAAACCTGGTCCCGACTGAGTCTGAACACTCCTTGGCGACAACAACACCAAGCTCCAGAGCATTGAAGCTGTAAAACAGGAAAATAGACAAACAAATTAAGACATTGAAAACTTGCATAACATCAATTCACCTCCCAAGTTTAAATAAGAAGAATAACCTCATACAATGCAATGAAAATAATATTCACCTGAAGTGCTGGTACTGTTTGAGCTTTCCACCAGCACCGTACCATCCTCCAGTCTCCTTCTATGACTGGTGGAGGAGAGTCATGCGTGTTCTACTGATGCTGAAAGACAAATTCCAGATACAAATATTTGAGCATTATTATACAACAGATGGCTGTAATCAGCCAGACAAGCCTGGCTAACTTGATGGGTCATGTAATCATCTGGCGAAGGGGAGTCTTTTATTTAGACATGTAGCTAGCTAAACAATGAACCATAATCCCAATCCATAGAGTACTAGCAATACAAACCGATTGTCATAGCTAGCTAAAGTTAACCAAATTGGTTCAATGTTAACTATTTAGCTAGCATTTGGCTACAACTAGCAATGCAAATGGCTTTCTGTGATAATATTAGTACACAGAAAATGTAGCTAGACTCTTACCCGTATAAATGGATGAACACGTCACGGCAGACTGCAACCCCTTTCATTAAATAAGACGTCCTGTGTCATTTCCATTTTGTTTCTACAGCTTGCTTCGCCCGTTGTGTCAAGTCACTCTGGTTCACACTGACCGTGTGCAATTCCATAAGAATCATCAGATCTTTTTCCCTCTCTGTCACGGATGCCATGGTTGCCCTTAGTTTAAAGATGTAATCTGGACTCCATCTGCATTTCCAATCAAATGCCAGAATTGTGTTAATCTCCTTATCATACTCTGCTTCCACCAGGCATTCCAATGATTTCAAAACTCTGTCAACTTCTTCCTTGTCAACAACACTGTTGATCGCCATTTCTTCCCCATCACTGTCATCAGAAGACTCCACAATGTCTGGTTCAATGAAAATGTTTTTACCTAAATCAGGGATTTCCTCATTGTCTGAGAGAGTCAGCATGGCACGATCGTCCTCCAGAAAGTAGTCCATCACAACTTTATCCCACTGACATTTGTCGATACCACCTGATAAATTCAGGGAAGCAATGTTATTGAGAGCAGTAGCAACACATTTGCAGTTGTCCATGGCTAACGTTATATACATATTGTTTTTTTTTAAGCTGCAGTAATAAGGATTATCTACACATAACAAGCAGCTCATTTTATAGACAGAAGATGCTACACGGCAGTCCAATCCGAACTCATCTCTCGGCATGTCCAGCCCATTCATTATTTCTGCCAATCATGGCTAGTGGGAAGGTTACTGTCTTTTGCCGTGGCTAATCCAACTAGGCTCGTAATTTAGCAATTGTATTCGTATTTACAGATGGCATATACGTTTGTTATTAAGACACATGAAAGTTCACATGTTCCAGAAGGCAATTGTGCCAAAAAACGCATTTTGATAATAAAAAATAAATTAAAAAATGTCCCCACTTGTCTGAATTGTCCTTCCTTTACTATCCTTGTGAGGACTTCTGGTCCCCACAAGGATAGTAAAACCAAAAACACACAAACACGCACGCACACACACACGCACACATACACACCCACCCACACACACACTAACTCCTAAACCTAACCCTAAATCTAATCCCTAACCCTAATTCTAACGCTAACCCTAATTCTAACCCTAAAATAGCCATTTCCCTTGTGAAGACCGGCAAAATGTTCTCACTTGTCAAGGCTTGTGTGTGTGAATGGACACGCCCCAGTCACTGGGTTTGGAAGCTCCCATGACAGGAACTCTATATGAAAGACTCATCTAGTCCCGATCATACAATCTTCGGCAGGCTATGGGTCAATTTCACTCCATTCCAACTCCATAGTTAAGATTGAAAACTCAATATTTCAAAATAAACAAAATCCAATAATTTACATCACAGGCTGTGATGTGAATCACTCAGTGAGTCTGTTTCAGTTCAGGCATTTCATGGCTGTCTCACAATGAACTCTAATTAGGGGATTGAGAGTGAGAGTGAAACAGAGCGAGAGCGAGAGCGACAAAGAGACAGAGTGAAGGCGTTGCCATTCCTCCTTCCACACATCCTTGCCCCCTCCTGTTTCTTGTTTTCCGCTGGTGTGTAGACTGATCGTGCTTCCAGGCCAAAACTCCTGAGATCAAAGATACAGCATGAAGAGACTGACAGCCAGAGCAGAACAGGAACACGCCTCCCTCCCGACCGACCTGGGTACTCCTGTCACTCTGAGCTGGTTCAGTGGAAACCACACTACAGTACAGCGATGACAGACTAACAGTGGGGGACTGCAGCTCAGTACAAACCAGCCTCTAGCTTTGGTGTTCAAAACACATTCTACGGTTACGAGTGTTTTCTTAGGATGAAAAGAGATTTGAAAGAGAACAAATGAAAGTAAAGCTTGATTTTCCGCAGGCTTTGTAGCATCAAACTGAGGTTGTGTCTTGAGATTGCACGGATCAGATATGATTACTTAACTGTATGCGATGGGAACAGCCTCCAATAGTTTGAGGTCACAGTGAAGATATGCAATAATGCCCTAATTATATACTGTAGCAGTGCAGAAACAAGATAAGAGAACCTAAATAAGCAAGAGATCAACTGTTCACATCTGTGGTGCTTTGTTGATATTTCAAGCAGCAACAGGTGTCAATGTAGCCTGGTTCCAGATCTTTTTGTGATGTCTTGCCAAATACTTGTCACTCATTGTCAAGTCAAACACAGTGTAAAAATAATCCTGTAATTTTTACAGTAAATAACTGGCAGCACAGTAGCCAGTAGATTACTGTAAATGCACAGTAAATTACTGTCAGCACAGAAGCCAGTAAACAACTGTAGATTTACAGGACCTTTACTATAACACACATTTACAGCATATTACTGGAACAGTACAAT